AACAGTGCGGATAACACCGTTCCATTCTAAATGGGAATGACATGTATTAATAATGTTTTAATTAAAGATTCTGAACTTTAATTAAATTCATTATGAACATTGCTTTTTGATTATTATCCTTAAACATTATCCTCTCGTATATAACACTTATATACAATGTTTAAGGTTACATAAATAATCATGGAATTTTTTATTGATATTCATAAAATATTCATAATATATGTGCACATAAAAATGAATAAACTATTTTATTAAATAAATAATAAATATCCTATTACATCTCATGCTTCTAGGACACTATTCCCAACAAAATGTTCTTTCAATCACATTACACAATGAGGAGTATGTGAAGTTGGATAGTTCACGTTCATTATTGAAGTCTATACCCCGTTGATTCCTACACTTTACAAATGGTACGTTGTCCCGCGGTATGGTGCCATGAAGCATCTGTTATTAGCGTAGCCCGAAAGTTAGCACAATTAAATAATATGCATAGTTATGCAATAGTTGGAATCCTCATCTTCCATAGAAAAAGACCGTTGTTCGCTAACCTGGTGGTAGCTTTGGAAAGCATTTCCTCAGGCTATCTAAAGCGGATGCAAGCACTCGCGCATCGTGTGTCAAACCCTCCCATTCAACTAATATGTATGTAAATTTCTTCAAGTTCTTGAAAGGCTTCATAGTTTCTAAGTGTTGACAGCCTTAGAAACTCCTTAAGAACTCATTTTCGATCCTCTTCCACCATCATTGAAGAGTGTTTTAGGCTTTCTTCATACTTTTTTCAGAAACATTCAATCCTTCTTCTTTAGAGTTACTCCTACTCATTGTTAGAGTAAGTGCTCCAAATAACATCCTCGCTCTCAGAGCAGCCTGCGTCTGCCCCAAAAGCGTCTCTTCATCAGAGCCTTATCCATCTCCATAAGTCATACACTCGCTCTTCATCAGCCTTATCTACTATACAAGTCATGCTTTTCGCTCTTAGAGTAGCCTATGTCTACATCTAAAGCATCACTTTGTCAAGGCTTGTGTACCCTTCGAACCTTCTCTCCATCAACTACTTGATCACTCTTCCTACCATTCCTCATCTACATGGTTCTTTTTTAGATATATTTTTTGAGTCCTCTAACTTGTTTTACAGGGACATTTTGATCATTCAGCAACGAAGTAGGCCCTAGGATCCGATTTTTTCAGTTCTCTTTGGGTCTAATTGTCCCCAGCTCTCCGTCGGAGGTCCCGCCTATGTCATCTACTTCGAAGCTCACTAAATACTTCGGCTACGTCAGATCCACTTCCGACAAGTCGTATACTTACACATTTCAACCCCTGACACGTTATACTCCTAAATCTACCGGACCCCAACAGTTTTTAAAATGTAGTAATTAAAACATTTTTTTTTATGAAAATGCAATTAATAAAATTGTCTACTGATTACAACTTCATACTCATGTGTAATTAAACTAATAATTGTAAGAATATGGAGTTTTTTTAAATCATTTTTTGGGTATAAGTTTGAACTTTCTACTATTTGTCTTGTTATAAATACAACATGGCTTAATTAAAAACACTATTAATATAAGATAAAATATAATTAAAAAATTGCTACCATGTATCCCATTTCCTGGCAAGTCAAAAGACAAAAAAAAAAAAAAGTGTTATCTACTTTCAAAGAAAAATAATAATTTATGGCTTTTTTGAAGTTATGTTTAATCTAGATTAAGCGTTGGTGTATAAGATATAATTCTTTAATAGTTATTGTGTTGCTACGTTAAATAAACTCTTCTTATATTAGACCTCGTTCATTTCACCGATTCGAGTTTTTAATTATAATTTTGTTACAGTTAAAAGCTCTCATAAAAAGTCACATCTAACTTTTTTGCTACAGTCAAAAGCTCTCACATAAAGTCACATCTCAACTCGAATTAAA